AGTCCTTCATGGAGAACTGTTTGGATAACCAAGTCTTTACCGACTATAAGTTTGGTATATCATTCCCGATCAGAAATATGTCATCGACATACAACACTAGGAATACTACTGCACTCCCACTCACTTTCTTATAAACACATGGTTCATCTTCGTTCTTGATAAAACTGAATTCTTTTATGGCTTCATCAAAACGAATGTTCCAGCTCCTTGAAGCTTGCTTGAGTCCATGAATGGATCTCTACAACTTGCATACCTTATTAGCTTGACTATCAAGAACGAAACCATCAGGTTGTGTCATATGCACATCTTCCTCAAGGTTTCCATTCAAGAAAGCAATTTTGACATCCATTTGCCAAATCTCATAGTCATGATATGCAGCAATCGCAAGCATAATCTAGATGGATTTAATCATGGCAACTGGCGAAAATGTTTCTTCATAGTCAATGCCATGAATTTGTTTGAAACCTTTGGCAACCAGCCGTGCTTTATAAGTATGCACCTTGCCATCCATGTCAGTATTCTTCTTGAAGACCCATTTACACCCAATGGGTTTTACCCCTTCAGGTGGTTCCACCAGAGACCACACTTGGTTCTGGTACATGGAGTCCATCTCAGATTTCATGGCTTTAAGCCATTTAACAGAATCTAGATCCGATATAGCGTCTTCGTAAGTTATGGATTCATCATCTTGGTAGACTAGTACGTCACCATGTTGAGTCACGAGATAACCATATCTCTCGTGCTCATGGCGTACTCTCCCAGATCTACGTAGCTCTTGTGCTACCTAAGATGGTTACTTTGATCCACAAGTTATGGAGTAACCTCCTCATGATGCTCAATGACTTCTTGTGGCACATCATCTCGTCCTTCGTCTAGTATATCTTGTGGTTCTAGAACTTCATCGAGTTCTACTTTTCTCCCACTAGTACTTCTTAGAAAATATTCCTTTTCTAAGAAGACACCAGATCCAGCAACAAAAATTTTGCGCTCTTCTGGGTGGTAGAAGTAGTATCCTTTGGTCACCTTTGGATACCCCACAAATATACATTTACAGGATTTTAGGCCCGGCTTGTTCGAAGTCAATTTCTTAACATAAGCTTCGCAACCCCGAATCCTCAGATAAGACAAGTTGGGCTTTCGCCCACTCCATAGCTCATATGGAGTCTTATCTACAGACTTTGACGGTACACGGTTAACAACGTGAGTCGTAGTCTCCAGGGCATAACCCTAGAATGATGCAGGTAAATCACGAAAACTCATCATGGAGCTAACCATGTCAATTAAAGCCTTGTTCCTCCTTTCAGACACTCCATTGTGTTGGGCTGTATAAGGAGGGGTGAGTTGTGATACTATCCCACATTCCTCTAGGTACTCTGAAAACCCTGAGCTTAAGTATTCACCTCCTCGATCCGACTAAAGAGCTTTAATACTTTTGCCCAAGATATTTTGGACTTCATTCCTGAATTCCCTGAATTTATCAAAGGCTTCAGATTTATGTCTCATGAGGTAGACATAACCATATCTACTGAAATCATCAATAAATATGGTGAAGTATGAATATCCTGTTGGAGTAGGTGCCCTAGAGCCAATCAATTATTGTAGAATTGACTCTTTGTAATAATGTTCATTAATCAATAATAAAAGGCATCTTATTCTATATTGCGTAAATCATTTTGCTCCCTTTTAATCTTTAATCTCCAAATCAAATTCCTGGAGTAGAAGAATCCATCTAATTAGCCTTGGTTTTGCTTCCTTTTTTGTGAGCAAGTACCTAAGAGTTGCATGATCAGAAAAAACAATGACTTTAGCACCCAACAAATATGACCGAAATTTTTCTAAAGCAAAAACAACAGATAAATGTTCTTTTTCAGTCATAGAATAATTTAGCTGGGCGCCATTCAAGGTCTTGGATGCATAATAAATGGCGTGACAAGCTCTGCCAACTCTTTGATCCAAGACAACACCTAATGCATAGTTGCTCGCATCATACATAATTTCGAAAGGTAAATCCCAATTAGGTGGTTGTATCACCGGTGCTGTTATCAACAATGTTTTCAACTTGTCAAATGCCTCCTTGCACTGCTCATCAAACTGAAAATCCACATCTTTTTGTAACAATCTGCATAGGGACAATGCGATTTTTGAAAAGTCCTTGATAAATCTCTGATAGAAACCTGCATGGCCAAGAAAAAATTGAACTTCCCGCACACTGGCTGGGTAAGGTAAAGCTGTAACCAAATCTATCTTAGACTTATCAACCTCTATTCCCTTGGATGAAACAATATGCCCCAAAACTATAACTTGCTCTACCATAAAATGACATTTTTCCCAGTTAAGTACAAGGTTAGTTTCCATGCATCTGTCTAGAATTAGTGTAAGGTTATGTAAGCACTGATCAAATGAATCACCATAGACACTAAAATCATCCATAAAAACCTCTAAATTGACTCGACATATTCTGAAAAGATATTTACCATATATTGTTGAAATGTGGCTGGAGCATTGCAGAGACCAAATGGCATTCGGCGATAGGCGAAAGTACCAAATGGACATGTGAATGTCGTCTTCTCTTGATCCTCCGGCACTATGAAAAACTGGTTATACCCTGAAAATCCATCAAGAAAATAGTAATAAAGATGACCAGCTAACCTTTCAAGCATTTGATCAATAAAGGGAAGTGGAAAATGATCTTTTCGAGTTGTTGAGTTCAACTTCCAGTAATCAATGCACACACGCCAGCCTGTCTGAACATGTGTAGGGACCACCTCATTGTCTTGATTTTTCACCACTGTAACACCAGATTTCTTGGGGACCACTTGCACTGGACTTACCCACTTTCTGTCTGATATCAGATAAATTACCCCAGCATCTAAAAGCTTTAAGATTTCTTTTTTCACCACATCCATCATTGGGGTATTTAATCTGCATTGCGCTTCCCATGTCAGTTTGGCACCTTCTTCAAGCAAATTCTGATGCATGCATATGGAAGGACTAATCCCCTTAATGTCAGCTATGGTCCAACCAATTGCTTCCTTGTGTTCCAGCAACATTCGAACTAGTTTCTCTTCTTGATTGGGTGTTAACTTCTTTGACACAATTATCGGCAATGTCTCATTTTCTCCCAAGTACACATACTTCAAATGGCCCGGTAATGGCTTTAACTCCAGTGTAGGAGCTTGCAATGTTAGGAAACGATCCATTGAGGCAGTGGAAAACAAAAATTAATAACAACTCGGATCGTTCCATAGAACCCAAAATCAGGGCATAGAAATTACAGTTTATGCAAAAACAAGAATCTGTAGAAAATTAATCTAGAGTTTAAGAAACCATACGCACGTTTGGAGGCTCCTCCAAGTTGTCTCTGAATATATTTAGCTACTGACTCAAGTGTAGGATCGAACCGACGTAGTACACACAAAGACAATCGTAAGGAACTAAGGAGGGATTTGCTAGATCCTCCTTAGCCTTAAGAAACAAGAAGCAAAAATCAAAGAAAACTTTGATTCTTAGCAAAACTAAAATCTAGCGTGGGATAGTGTTTAGGGGCTGGAGAGTTTTTCTCTCAAATGAAAAAGTAATGAATGAATAAAATGAATTTCTTTTTTTTTTTTTCAAAGAAACCTTTTTCTTTTATAGTAAAATTTAATTGCCCTATTCCCATATGGAATAAGCTTGGGCTCCAACCCAAACACCCCATGTTTCCAAACACTCCCAATTAGATATTTATTTTATTTCATCATTATCTTAATTAAAAATCAATTAATATATATTTAATATATATATTAACATTTAACAATAATGATAATATATTTAAATATATGCTAACACATATTTAATTGTAATTTCACTTATTTAATTTTTCCAACAAATTAAATAAAGGCTACTACCTCAGCAAATTTAATTGCACTGTGAAATTACCAAAATACCCTTTCGCCTTAAAAGACGAAAACGCCCTTCTTTCTTCTTGCATCTTAAATTGTCTTCTATGTGTGTGACCCTTAGGCTCCTCATCATATCGGCAGTGTATAGTATTGCGATTAACACCAATTAATCGTCTCACTAATACACAGACCAAGATTGGCCCCTAGCAAGGCATCATGGCCACCCGATAGATTCGGATTCAGCAAAGTAGCTACCTGTCAACGATATGGTTACCGTGCAATTCGATCCTTTCATCATACGTTATCTCGACGAGACGAAGGCATAGAAATAGTGTCAACCTTCGGTTACTCTCGATATTATTTATTCAGTTTCTGGACCAATGACCCGTATTATAAACTGGATAGAGCAACAACTCAATCCCACTGTGGCCACAGTTTTAGTGTCATTGCCATATACTGAATTGCGCCGTGAGATAACTTTCTCCCGTACCCGGGAGTGATGAATCCTCTGTCAATCCACCATAGTCTTGATACACTCCTTGATGCAGCCAATCACCACCGTATTGACAGCTCTGAAAAGAACTGCATTAGGCTAGTGTCAAACTACACCAATCGGTGCACAAGGTGCTCCGGTGATCTCAAGTCTAAGGATCACATGCACCACCATTCGTTAGAGGATTTGTTCCATAGACACTGGGTTACCATCCATATGAAATCCTTTATTGGGTCAGTCCAGTGAACTTGTTGTGGTGTATTAGCCTACAGCAAATACCCATGTGTTGCACCAGGTTGTCACCAAACAACCTTGACAAGTGAGATCAGTCACTGCCTTTCGACAGGGTCGTTCAACACTATAATAGCCTTACCATATTATCTGTGCCCTTACTTCAGAATAATACTGGGGCTATGGACGTTTCTAGAATGGCCACCATATGTGCTCATAGGGTTCTCACTATCAAGATTTGAAACACTAGATACCCTCATCATGGTTCTACCATTCTAAGGACATATATCAATACATATTGCAATACTAATGATTTACACAATATAGAACAAAATACCTTTTATTGATTAATGAACATTATTACAAAGAATCAATTCTACAATAATTGATTGGCTCTAGGGCATCTACTCTAACATGAAAAACAGAAGGCAATAATTTCTGGTGAGAATCATGCAGCTTTATAAAAGAAACTCCATGCCTTTCTAGAATTGGTTTTAAAGAATGTAAAGCTACCACTGTCTCCTTCAATTCTTCACTGAGCTCTATCTCTCCTTTCTCCTCTGATTCCACATGTTTGGTAAGGAAAACCTCTAACTCATCTGCATTATTTAGCTCAAACATCTCTTGTGCTATGGAATCAACAGAATCAATAACATCAATAGCAAAAATAGACTAAACATCAGTTGGATATTTCATGGCATCAAAAATATTAAAACGAATTACTTCACCATCAAATTCCATCATGAGGGTACCGTCATGAACATCGATTTTTGTCCGAGCTGTATTTAGGAATGGTCTTCCCAGTAAGATAGGTGCAGGGTCAGGAGAAGAAGAATCATCCATATCCAGAATGTAAAAATCAGCAGGAAACACTAACTCATTGACCTGCATAAGAACATCTTTAACTACCCCTTCAGGGTATGCATTAGTGCGATCAACCAATTGGATAATAACACCAGTATCTTTCACAAGACCTAGATTTAATGAAACATAAATAGATCGTGGCATAACATTAATTGAAGCTCCTAAATCTAGCATAACTCTCTCAATTCTGGTGTTACCTATCTTACAAGGAATTGTAAACATACCTAGATCCTTGCACTTGGGATGAAGTTTTCTTTGGAAAACCGCTGACACATTTTCTCCCATTATTATCTTCTCATCACCGTTTAACTTTCGCTTATTGGTGCATTGCTCCTTAAGAAATTTCGCATACCTTGGCACTTGCTTAATTGCATCCAACAGAGGTATATTCACTTTGACCTTGCGAAACGTCTCCAAAATTTCTTTATCTTTCTCTTCTTTCTTTAACTTTGCGAATCTGATAGGAAAAGGTAAAGTATTAGACTGAAGTTGAATTGAAGGGTTAGGAATTACATTTGATTCAGTTGTAGCCTCTTCTTTCTCAATTTCATCTTCAATTTCTGCTTCCTTTGCTACACTTGGAATGTTCAACTTCGGTTCTTCCACTTTCTTGCCACTTCTTAGCATCACTGCATTCACATTTTCCTTTGGATTCACCACTGTTTGAGAAGGCAACTTCCCTCCAACTTGAGCCTCTAAACGACTTATAGCACTTGCCATTTGACCCATCTGATTCTACAGACTTTGAATACTAGATCTTTTATCTTGTTGAAACTATTTGGTATTCAAAGCAAGGAACTTAACTATATCTTCCAGCGATGAGTTCGAATTTTGTGAGGCAGGTTGCTTTGGTTGAAAACCTTGTTGTTGTCTATTCTGGAAATTTTGTCCAACTCGTACTTGTCGATTTCCTCCATAATTGAAATTCGAATGATCCCTCCAACCTGGATTGTACATGTTGGAGTAAGGACCATACTGCCTTAGTGGTCCAGGAAAGTTTCCTACTGCATTGACCTGCTTAGCCCTTCCTCTTGAAGTATTGGGCATATGTCCGTTTGGTGTCCCATTGTGGAACATATCCCATAAGCTTTTACCTGTTGTGCATTCCCTACAGCCAATTGTCTAACAAGAGAGGTAAGATCAGATAATTATTGTTCAATGGAAGATGTACTTACCTCATTCACCCTTTTGGGTCGTGCATCATGTCTTGTACCAAACTGTTAGGAGTTGGCAGCCATGTTTAAGATTAATTGTTTGGCAGCTTCAGGAGTGTTATCCACCAACGCACCTCCACTTGTTGCATCTATCATGTTTCTTTCCATAGGCAGCAATCCTTCATAGAGATATTGAATTAACAATTGATCACTTATCTGGTGGTGAGGACAGCTTGCAAATAGCTTCTTGAATCGCTCCAAATAGTCATACAATGTCTCTCCATTATATTGCCTTATACCACATATCTCCTTCCTGATAGTGGCAGCTTTGGATGCTGGGAAATATCTTTCTAAAAATAGCCTTTTCATCTCATTCCATGTTGGTAGATAATAGAGCCAATCCTTTGCATCATCCTCCAATGAAAAAGGAAAAGCTCGCAACTTAATCTGCTTCTCTGTCACTCCTATCGATTTCATGCTTGAACAGACAACGTGGAACTCTTTTAGATGTTTATTTGGATCTTCACTTGCACGACCACGAAATGTAGGCAACAAGTGAATTAGACCAGACTTCAGTTCAAAAGCAACATCTAAAGTAGGGTATTGAATACACAAAGGCTGTTGATTAAAATTAGGGGCAGCCAGCTCCTTTAATGTTCTGCCAGCGGCGGCCATCTCTTCGTCTATTTTTGAACCTAGATCACTGGATGAACTGTGGGATGTTGAACCAAAGGCTATATTAAGACTAGGAGATGAAGAACTTGCTTGACGTGCCTCTTTTCGCAACTTTTGTAAGCTGCGTTCAATTTCTGGATCAAATTCCAACTCTCCTATAGAATTGGATCGAGTCATAAACCACTAAAATCACCAAATTAAGCCTAAATAACCAAAAACTAATAATAAAAAAAAATTCTCTTGAAAAAAACTAAAATTGGCCAAAATCACTATTAAATGATCGAATTTGACGATGAGAGGGTGGGGCTAGAACGTTTCTAGTCTTGCTCAGAATTTCGTTTACTTCGAAACAGGTACTCGTAACACTCCTAATTCAACCAAAATTTCTCTTATGAATAGTATACTATTCATGAACAAGACAACTGTTCAATTTTTTTTTCTTTTTTTTTTTTTCAAGAATCTTAAAAAAAAAAAACACACAATTGAATAATTGAACAGAATGAAAAACACAACTAAACTAAACACTGATTAAATGAAATAACAAAAGAACATAGAACATAAAAAAAATCGACATAGAACATTCCCCGGCAATGGCGCCAAAATATGGTAGCGTGCCGAATGCTCCAAATTAATAACCTTCCTAACCTAACTACTGAATTGCATATAGGATAAGCAAGGGTCGATCCCACAGGGAATGATTCGATTAAAATCTATGTTCTAACCACTAACCACAACAAAAACAACAGTAAAATAAAATAAAATCCTAAACAGTAAACATGACAACAAAATAAAGAAAGGGGTTGTAGACAATGCAATCTAAAGTGAAACAAATAAATCTCCAATGGTAGAAAATATTAGATTAAAAACAACTAGTCCTCAGTTCAGGATCCACCTAAACATGCATTGGATATGAACTAACTGTAAAATTATTCTATCTCGTTATTATGGAATTATTGACCCTAGGAAACAACAAGCTCTATTACCCGAATTTTCCCTTAAATGTCACTATTGAATTAAGCTCTTCAATTAGATCCTAACCCTTGAACAACCTAGAATAAGCTCTCCAAGTTTAATTCAATGGCAGCCTTAAGAATTAGGAAAATAGATCAATCCAATCAACAATCACGCAAGATCGGATTATTTAACTTAGGTTATGTTATTCAAGGTGACAGACTGAAAACTTGTCTGTAATCATCTATCATTATGTGTTACTTACTAAATAGAAAGAGGACAATTACGTATCACAATTTCTAATTCTAACAGATGAAATTCTGATTAAACAATTTAGCAAGTCATTACTAAATCACCCAAACAAAATCATAAACAATTAAAACAGAATAACATAAATAATTCCAATAAGAACGAGATTAAGAGCAATTTTACTGAAGTTAAGTTACACCAATGACATGAATTTAGGCTTTAAAATCCCCTTGAACTAAAGAAGAAAGATCAGTCGCACATCTTGACGTAGAAGGTAAAAAACTTCGAAAAAACTCTACTGCTGTTCTCCCCTGTTTAACCTAACAACTCATGAATAAATAACATGTTTTTTTTCCTCAATTCTACCCTAGGAAAAATGGAAATTACTTTCCTAGACCTTTCCTAAAAGATAGACTCCCAAAACTGTCAATCCTTATCAGATATGGAAAACAGAACCCGTAATCCAACTTGCACTAGGATTCTCACAATGTAAAAGAACTTTTCTAGGCTTGGTCGCTTCATAAAAGTTGTAGTCCTGCATGTGTATATGAATTTGGGCTTTTGAATCACTTGCTTTTGATATCTGAAGCTCTAATTAGGCCCATTTGAAGACTCAATACTCAGCCAGGAAATCCTTCCGTGAATAGGATTCCAGGTCCGGTTTTACAACAACTAATGATATCTCAAACAAACTCGAATTCGCACCCATAATACCTTCCTGGAAAGTTTGATTTGTCTACTTTACTGTTTCTGAAGAACACTTTTACAATCGAGAAATCTGACTCCATGAAAACCTGAAAAACGCAGCACTGGTCAGAATAACAAAAAATCTGGAATTTCCTAATCTTTTCTCAATTATTTCATAAAATCTATCCAAATATGTCAAACTTACAAAAAAAAAAAAAAAAAAAAACTCTAATCAACTCAAATAGGCATAAAACATACAAAAAACATAATATGGAAGGAATAAAAATATATAAACTATACTTATCATGGGTAGATAGGATGGTTTGAAGAATCAGATTGGAGAACTGTAATATTAGATTGGTTGTGAGAAACCTTGAGGCTCCATCTTGTCACCTCTAATCCCTTATGAATCCACGAAAGATTCCATTGTAGATGGCTATCACATACGAAAAAAGTCACACGTTTTTGTAAAGTATGGGCAATCGGAAGAGATCTTGACTGATCCTAAGAATTTTTTCCTAAAAGGTTTGTTGGGAGTGATTTCGTTCTTCGTGGCCGCCACTTTCAGCTTTCTCATTCGGCAGGCTGAAGAATCTGCCCTGGAATGTAATAGATCAAGTATTAAAGCTAGTGCTAGCACAACTTGTGCATTGCTTTGATTAGGAGCTTCCAAATGGGATGTTGCCAAGTGAATTAGACATGACTGAGGAGTTTGTTCTTGCAATGCATAGAACAAATAAACTTGTGGGTATTCCTACTTACCATCTGGACAAATATTAATTTGACCTGTGTAATTTTTGATATTGTCCTCACTCCTCAGTCATGCATATCAGAATTTGCATTATGCTGAATAATTTCTTTTGTATGGTAATAAATGGCATTTCAAAACTAACTAGCATTCTAGCCACAATATTATTTCTATTTACAAATAAGGATTTTCATTATCTTTATTTTATCATTTTTCCTCTTGTATTTAAATAAGAATGAACCCCAGATGGTAAAATTGTACTCTTTGTCCATGGACGCGTGACATGCAAGGGCCAAATGGTTGGTTTGTTGGTTTTACCAAAATCTTTGGGAAGAATAATTTCTCCTTTATCACATTTAATACAGTCAGAAGCCCATGTTTCAGTGGAAAGAAATGAGGTTCAACATGAACACAACTTATGCAAAAAAATTCTAACTAACAATATTGACATGTGTTGATACAGTGATACCTTGCTAGAAATGCATCAACATTATAGGTTTCAGTTGGAACTTTTTGGAGCATGTTGAAGTTAGTTTGCTGTAGTTGGTCTAACATGCATGGCTGCATCTTTTTGGTGTATTGTAGTTGAATGGCTTAAGTGTAATTAAGTCAGTAATATGATGTATTTTGAGTATGGATTATTGGTTGTTAAAATTTAAATTCAAATTTGTATATGTCTGCTGTAGTTGTTGTAACAGTGGATAGTTGTTATGCTACTGTATATATTGTCCAGTTTGAATGAAAGAATTAGACTTTTTGCACATAAGTTTTGTTACTCTTTTTCTTTCTTTTGTATTCTCTGGCCTAGAACCATCAAATGGTATCAAAGCCACCCACAAAAATCTGAAACTTATTGCATCCAACCATCAACCACAACTCAAGAACACCTTCCATATTCAGCTAAAATCAACCTGCATCTGCTCACTTTCTTTCTACAACAGACACAAAAACTGAGACATGGCAACTCAATCTACTTTGATGGCACCACCGGTGTTTAATGGGGAACATTACCACATATGAGCTATTAGGATGAAGGCCCTCCTCCAGGGTCAAGGGATGTGGCAGTATGTGGAAGAAAACAAGCAGCCACCTCCCATTAGGACAGAATTCTACCCTGAATCAAATGAGACTGCATGAGGAAGAAACAACCAAGGCACCAAGAGCTCTCTCTCACATTCATGTAGCAATGATTGACCTTGTATTCATAAGGATCATGGCATATGAGACTCTAAAGGAAGCATGGGACAAGTTGAGAG